AGTATAATAATTGTAGCAATGAAAAAATACGTACAAATATTCCACCTTTAGTCAATGTTTGTAGTACCACAAACACAGGATTCTTGTCAGCATCTGTGATTGCGTCAGGCTGTTGATTAGGATGTACGAAAATTGTAATGTTATCAAAATGGACTTGCGATTTAACATGTGTAAGTCATAAGGTGTGAATTGGAAAATGTTAAACCAAATGACTTCACTGACATTTTGGATTGGGTTGGGTCGCCACAAAAATCAACTTTCGTTGATGTGCTAGAACATAATTGTCGTAGAGCCAAGTTTGGACATACCTGGACAGTGAGAATGTGAGACATGAGTAGAATTGTGCAAAAAATGAACATGTAAATTTTAAACGCGACGAAGCGGGGCATACTCGGACCACCCAACGGAGCTAACTCGAATCCAAGCGCATATAGCACCATAACAACAGAGCACACTGAGTGTTAGACTAGCCCGGGCTACAAGCATGGTGAAGTTAAACATTGTGAACAAACATTGGAAAGGAGCTGAAATGAAGACTTCACCATTTGTGATCCATGTTTGGTCAAATGTCAGTAATTTCTCGATGTGTTTGTGCTAGTTGCATTCCACTTCGAGTATCATGTGGATATGCGGTTGTAAACAGACAAATATTCTGTGCTTGACGGGAGAGGAAACTGTGTGAACAAACCTCCACGGAGAGGCCTCGAAATTTGGGTTGGTCGCGGTCCTTCTATATACTATAGACTATAGAGGGACTGCTGTGAGTTGGTAAACACAGAATTTATAGTACATGTAGTAGCAGTATTTGTCAACATGACTTACCCGCTTTGCGTTGTCTAAGTCTGATGCTAATGTTCTCTTTTGTTGAACGAAGTTGGATGGCAAGGGAGCAGCTTCTTCCTCGTCTTCGTCGTCGTTAAATAAATAAATAAACAAATAAACGAATAATAACATTATTATGAACTTAAGAATGCTTCCTACTGTTCATTGCTGCTTGACCTGTATTTTGATAGCGATCCCTAAATGATTTACCAGACCCCCACGTCGTATTGGACTGAGCGAAGACAAAGAGCATAAGGCATCGGTGGTTCAGTGGTAGAATTCTCGCCTGCCACGCGGGAGGCCCGGGTTCGATTCCCGGCCGATGCAAGATATTTTACTCGACAATTATTTTAGTTATTTCTCTTTCATTCTCACTTTTGACACTTTTCTTACTGCCTTGTTTCTTAATATATCTTTTTATTATGCCTTCGTGGAGATATGAAAGAATAATTGTAGCGGTGCATTGTGGGACATCTGTACTAATATAAACAAAACATGTAAAACACTAGTACTGTGTTGCCAAATCACAGTCCCGTGTTAGAGGGACTGTGGCCATATTCAAATTTCCCCGCTGTAAATTTGGTTTAGCAGACCCCACCCAGATCACACCCACAATGTCGCCCTCGCTTTCACTATGGTATGACTTATATCGCGCTGAAACTCGTCGCTGATGGCGTCACTGTCAAACGTAACATTCGTCAGTTCTTTACTAACCTTTCCGTTTACCTTTGTCCTTTTTCTTCTTCACCTTCTTGTCATGAATGCTTTTCGTCTTTGTGTGCTGAGTTGTCGTTGACAGGTATACACCCTAGAAATATCAGGAAATAGCGGTTTTTAATTTCACAAAATAACAGCAACAATTGAGTCAGACATGGATTTAGAGATTAGCTCTAAAACGTGAAAATGCTCAATGTCAATAGAAAGAGAAGAGAGCCCTCAGCGCTACCATGAACACTTGTTTGCCGTTCATTATATTGCCCAATCGCACACAACATTGCAGTTCTACAAGGTACAGCAGACTCACCTTCGAGGTTGGCATTATTAACCTCCGTTTTCGTTTTAAACTATCTGGGTTGTTATGATAACCATTTCGAGCACGCGTACCGCTCTCGTTGCTTGACGTCTCCGTGTGTTTGTGAATGTCATCGTCAGAGTCACGTGGTGTCTCGTTTTCCCCGGCGATTACGTCGTCGTGATGGGACAACAACTTATTGATCCTCGTTAGGTTTCTAGGTGATCCGGCGAGTAAAGACAACACACCTACAAAATAAGATTACCGACATCGAATCGTATTATTAAACACATTGATACCATGGCAAATATGGCACATATTCGAAAATCTATTATTTCAAAACTATGCACTGGAACAAAATGGTCTTTGTGTTAACAATTAAATGTGCTTACGTAAACAGTAAATACATAGACGGTAAGGTACAGCAGTATGGTTTCAAAAAAACTAAAACTAAGACATACAAAATACAGCACGACTAGGAATGATAAAACTACAAAAGTAAGAAATAAACTCGCAAATTCTTTTGTCAATCGGAGTTTTAGGTTTTGTGTGTCTAACCATTTCAAATTTCGGAGACAGTTATAGCCGAGTATAAATTTACCTCATTATTATCATAAGTCACATGACCTGAAATGGTATCTTTTGTTTTTCCCGCGAAGGTAATTTTGGTTAATGCTGAATATCATGATGAAATCAAAATTACGAACAGATTCGCAAAAATGTAGCTTATAACCATTTAAATATTCAATTTATTGGAGATGTCGCCGAAAGGCAGTGTTTACAAGTTATGTGATCCATTAAAGGGTTGTTGTACACCGTCACATAATTCATCTTTACAGAGCTCTCATTTGCGTCTGTTCTTATTTTGTCAGTTGTTTTGCGTCATGGATTATTTTGATTCTAAATTTCAGCTCTAGTTTAGTGTGTTGTTTTTGTCCGTACGTCCAGTGTTTATGAAGTGCTTTGCCATTTTCGTAACTGGTTCACTATAATGCAAAGTTACACAAAAACTTCCAGATCACGTGACTATATACCTGCTTTCGTCAGAAGAAATTTCCACTTATTTAATGCCAGTTCTATTTAAAATTGCTTATCCTGATTCTACATGCTTTACAAAAAAAGTGTCACACAGAAGGACATATGATATTGTTAAACAACGCCGTTTTTACTAGTTGGATGTTATGCCCTGAGCTGTCTTCACGGACGTGAAGATGTGAATGATATGTAAATTGCAGTCATGTGTCAATTTAGTTCACATAGCATGACAGGGCACGGGCCCATGTTTAACCCATCGTTCAGTGTGTATTATCTGTATTGGCGCCGTATTTTGATAATTACATTGACAATATGTGATATTGCTGTCGTCCGCGGTGTAAAATTGGTGATGACGTAGAAACAAGTGGACAACATATATCACGAATGACCTTTTTGTTTGTACTTTTTGACTTTTTACTGATAAATACAAAGTAATTATGCTACCATGTGTACTTTCTGAACAGTTAGTTAATGGAAGAGATAAAACTAATGTTTGTTTATTTGTTTGCATGTTTGTTTTGAGAGATATACTATATTCTAAATGACGATCAAATATAAGGCCAAGTAAAGTTTTTATTTTTAAATACATTGATTGCACCTATAACGTAAAATAAGGTGAAATACGTGTAGAAACAAGTAAAAATAGGTTACCGTCATCGTCGGAATATATCCTCTTTCTAAGACACGGCTTCACTTTTTTTAGTTTCTTCAAGACGTACGCGCTCCCCTGAAATAAAATGCCAATTGTTTATTCGTTCCTGACTTTTTAATGACGTCATTTGTTTAAATACTACGATAATTTGCTCTATTGTGTTTGTCTCTTGATAAAACACTAACACTGGATGAGGCTCTTTGTTGTCATAATGAATGCAGGTTGTAGTGGAACCGATCACGAAAAAAATGAGTCACAGACAAAAACGTACCAAAAGTATGAAGGTCATATTTACTTACAGATTTCACAATGTAAATCCAATCTGAATAGTTACTGTCTTTTACAAGCACATCTCCTCGCCTGTGAGCAGAAAGATACGCTGATTATTTTAAGTGTAAGTGTTGGGAATCCCGACAAGGGTATGACCGCAAATGTGTGTGGGCGCCAACTCCGATATCAATTTATAATGCTTTTTAATACTTCAAAGGCGTCTTATTTATCGTTATTAATATATCCACAATATCTGGAATAATATCTTAATGCTAATAAATTTAAAATTGATCATACCTGAAAAAATTGAAAACGCACTCCGTTGGATGTGTTTCAAGAAGATGCAATGGCCAATCTTTCAAGAAATGTAAAGACGACAAGAATTCATGGTGATCTGGGTCATTAACGTTCTTTACCCCACCCTGGCACATGAAAATATCTTCAAAGTCCTGAAACATGAAGTAATTAAGAGTCAAATATACTAGTATTTGCGTATTATCACAACTTTAAAGCAGAGAAATACTGCATCGGCTGGGAATCAAACCTAAAACTCCCATCGATCCATGACAAATACCTTATACATTGTGTATCTGATATTTATATACTATTACATTGATAATATTTGAACTATTTTAATCTTATCTGGGGATATTGTGATATTAGAACTAGTTCAAAGCGGGGGAGTCGTCACCTGCGCATGCGTCAGATGGCCATAGCGTGTCCATTGTTTACAAATAACCGTCT